CCTGTCTCGGCCTCCCAAAGTGCTGGGATTACAGGCTTGAGCCACCGCGCCCTGCTTTTTTTTTTTTTTTTTGAGACAGAGTCTCGCTCTGTCGCCCAGGCTGGAGTGCAGTGGCAGGATCTTGGCTCATTGCAACCTCCGCCTCACAGGTTCCAGTGAGTCTCCTGCCTCAGCCTCCCAAGTAGCTGGGATTACAGGTGCCCACCACCTCGCCTGGCTAACTTTTTTTTGTGTGTGTATTTTTAGTAGAGACAGGATTTCACCATGTTGGCCAAGCTCGTCTTAAACTCCGGACCTCAGGTGATCCGTCCGCCTTGGCCTCCCAAAGTGCTGGGATTACAGGCGTGAGCCACCGCTCCTGGCCAGTTTTTGCCATTCCTTTCAATGGCAAAAACTGCAATTGCATTTGCAGCGACCTAATAGTTTCGATATTGTGTTAATTGTGGAGATTTTGCATTAATTTTAATTTTAAAAAAAGTCCCAGTCAGTATATCCAAAACAACCGAAAGCAGGGACTGAAGCAGAGCGTGAAGCCATGTTGATAGCAGCAGTAAGTCACAAGAGCCAAGAGTTGGAAACAACCCATGGTCCATCAATGGACGAGTGGATAAACAAAATATGGGACTACGTAGAGTGGGATATTGCTGAGCCTGAAAAAGGAAGAGAGTTCTGATACCTGGTACCGTGTGAATGAACCTTAAAGGCATCAGCAGCCGAGGGAAATGAACCAGTCACAAAAAGATCAATACTCCGTGATTCCACTGATCTGAGGTACCTAGAGGAGTCAAACTCCCAGAGACAGAAAGTGGAAGGGTGGCTGTGGGAAGGAGAGGACGTGGTGTAAGTGCTTGTGAGTTTCAGCTTGGGATGACGAAGCGTTCTGGAGATGCACGGTGGTCAGAGTTGCACAATGTGAGTGTATTTAATGCGACTGAACTCTACACGTAAACGTGATTAAGATGGTAATTTTACATTATGTATATTTTACCACAGTTCTTAAAAAATCGCACTTAAGTCTGGATCTTGATGAACTAGTTGCTGGTCCTGCCTCTGCTGCCTTCTTTGCCTCAGGGAAGATGATGGATGTAAAAAAGCTGAGACAGCCTGGGCAACATGGCGAAACCCTGTCTCTAAAAAAAAAAAAAAAAAAAAAAAAA